ACATTTTGGACAAAAATTCTAACATAAAGAAAAAAAGTCGGAGAATTTTGTAGGAAAATTCCAGGAAAAATTCTAGTGTTGTATTAGACTTGGAGGGTAGTGTGCCAAGACATGAAATTTTCCCCTTCGGTTTTTGAAAATTTTCCGTTTTCATCGCAAAATTTTCTTTATCGGTAAACGAAAAATTAGTCGACCGACAAACAATTTTTCCCCGACCAAAATTTTTGTCTTTTTTTTCAATTACTCATTGATAATTTTATTGATTGTTATTCGCATTAATCTATTACAGTATGAATGGAGAGGAAAACTTAAGTGAACACATTATGTTGATAGGCGACTATACATCGACTAACAATTATACTAGATTAAAACTTCATCACGTGAATAATGTCACTAATTTTGAACCATTTTCACGACAGGTTTACTTGTCACGTTTATTTTTCACGCATACGCTTGAATTCATACGGTTAATCCAACTTTCATACAAAAATGAACATAATATTCACTGATTATCACATAATTCTGCAGAACCTATGCTTCCGTTGCTCGACTTTGATGTAGAGACTTCACCTGTAAGTCCCAACTTGGGACTCCCGAGTGCAGTTGTTCGGTTCAGTTCGGCGAGCCGAACTTTGCCGATATCGGACGGACACGTACGAAGACGGGAAGAATGTGAAATATTCGGAAATTTTCTAGTGCCAGCTCTAGAATTTTTTTCGTTTTTCCTCGCAAAAATTGATGAACTTATAGCAAAATTTCTCGTACACTGTTAGAAAATTACTCTTGGTGTATCAATTAAGAAATCTTGAAATTTTTAACAATCAGTCATTCGCACGAAATTTTCATGTATTTTGTTATTGAAAAATCAGATGAATTCTGGAGTATGCAATGAAATTGCAATTTTCAGGTCCACATGAAACTGATAATTGCTCAATAATTTGAGAATTCAAGCAACAATTTCTCTGAATTTTCAATCCACTGAAATTTCAGTTGGATGCGATGTTCAATATCAGTGATAATTGAACCTGAACAACCCAATTATCCTGAATTTCCAACCTGAATGAGAGACTCCATGAAAAATTTGATCTTCAATTGAATTCACATTAACAACATTGAGATCTCAAGTGCAACTATTGTTTGATTTTCAAAAAATGTCTTGAGTTTGGCAGTTTGTGCCTTATTTCTGGTGCCCAAAACTCGAATTCTCCCCCGCCTTTTCTCTCCGTGCATGAGTTTCAACAACAAAATCTTAGGATCAAGAACCCGATTTCAAAATAACGACGAAAGAGGTTCAATTTTTTGCAGTCAGTGGAAAAATCTGAGCATAAACAGCGAAAAGCCATAAAGAAGATATACAGAAAGTCAATAAACATGAATTGCAATCCATTCTCGTCATTTGATGGCCTCTTTTTATTGTCAACAATTATCCAGACCATAAAATTACACAAGTGCAATATCGTTCGTTATGAGATTGGAAGCAATAAATATTATTGAAGCAACCACAATCCTCTCGAATTGTGAATGATCAGTCTTCTCGCAGAAGCTTTCTATAAACAAGGCGTCAACATGAACAAAGTGAGTTTTTCCCATTCCCACCAATTTCAATGATCAGTGAGGGAAGTACCTATTAAAGCTCCATTGCATTCGACATTCCCTAATAGGGTTCTAACGACTGACGTGCATTTCACCACACCATTACATCATTCGATTACCTTTCAACCCACTGTACACAACCCCTCTAATCGAATTTTGTGTATTTGGACGTAAAACATGTCAGCAAAATAATTGCGGTTGCACCCTTCTTGAAAGAGAACGATGAGTAAAACTCCTATCAACATTTATTGTATAGTTTAGCGATTTAGAATGCACTCTATCGATCACGGTGTATCTCATATCCATCATTCCAATTTGTTTCATATTTTCATTTTGTTTTATGACTGAAACTTTGGTGGCGAGAGCTGACAAAACTTTTGAGTCTTTCATCTCGATTATATGTTTCCAACCACCGGAGGCAACTGGTACTTCATGAGAATCGGGTGGTGAGGGGGAGAGAGGGTTGTCAAGTTTATTTTACTTAAGTTAGACAAAATGTTTATGCGACACTAAAATATTTATGATGAAGAGAAGTAAAGGAACAGTTTCTTATTTATGAGTAAAAACTTTTTCATACCAATGAATAACATAAATTTCTCTTCAATCGGATTTTATGGGATAAATAAACTTTGAAGTCTTCATATATGATTCTGATAACATGTTTTATACAGCGCAATACCTCGAGGAGTTTAATTTTCTTCCCTTTTTAACATGTTCATGAAAAATATTGCGAGAAAATGGGTTATTCTCATTAAAGTGTAGTTAATCCCCGACTCTAAAAAGGGAAGATGAGAACATTTCCTCATCACTATTACTTTCTTTTTTATTTTCACCACTTTTATGTTGGATACTAATTCTTAAAAGTTTTTCTTTGAAAAATTTTGCGAGCTCAACGGAAAACTTTATGGAAGCACATTAGATGCATCTAGGTAAGAGGCTACTGTCTTGAAAATGGGAAAAAATGAAGGGAAAAATCTAGAAGCGGGAGATGCACTAGTAACAAGATGCTGTGTCTCAATATTTAGCGATCATTTACCCAACTTTTGCGGATACGTAGGGGAGATTTTTCGGGCTTCAACTAATCTCGGTAAAAGCAAAGTACCAGGGAGGAGCGGTTTATGGACCGGGAGTAGAACGAGGATGGGCTGTGGTGAAGTTAAGGGGTCAAGAGTTTCAATGAAAACCCTCAATGCTCATTAATTGTAGCTTCAGCAGAGTCGGTAATTTCCAAATGCAACAAATGGACAAGTTTTGTACATCTCAGTTGAAAAAAAAAATCCGTACATTTACTGTTTCGTAAAAGAGGAAAAAAAATTATAAAACCGTAAATTTCGTGACGGAAATGGGTGACAATTTTCCTCGTTACCTGGCAAGTCTCGAACCGTTCAACGAACTTTTACTCATCGCTTCACAACTCTTTCTTTTCACAAAATCTTAACCCAGAAGGAACTTCTGTCGGCAGTTATGTACTTTCATTCCTTGGAATAGTGTCAAATTCCCATGTGATGATCATGGAAGTTTGGGATTCTTAGACAGTAGGATGTCACGTACTTGATCGTTGCTGGCAGATCGTCCCTTTCCCAACGATTCGGGGAGAGGTGACTATATATTTCCACATGAAGTCTTGCTTTACATTTTCGTGACGAAATCGGGATGAAAATTTGACGCCAGAGGTTTAGTATTTCTCAACGTACATAGTTATAGTTGAACGGGGAAAAAACCCGAGATTCTCAGAACTGGGTCAATTATGCAGAGAACAGAGTTTTATTATGATAAGGGCTTGAAACTTCGTGCTGCTGCGAAATTTATCAGCCCTTATATGTGAGAATGTACAATAGATTCCCGGAAAAAGAAGGGATTTTGTCATGAATCTCAGCTTGGATTCAATTTGCCGAATGCTTTCGAGAGTAATTTTTACAAGAAAGAGAAAGAGATTGTCGCAAAAAGGCTCAATCCTATATTTTTACGTGAGCTGGTCGCCTTCGCTCATTTGGTAATAAGCTTGTTTTCTGAGACATACCAGACGTTCGAAGAGAACCTGGTTCGAGTCCAGCTACGCGCGGTTTTGTAAAAAAATTTCAACGTAAGGGAATTCCGTGACTGAAAGTAAAACAGGGGCCGGAAGGGAGGAAGGAAAAAGAGAGATGCAAAGAGGAGAAAGTGGTACAAAGGCAAGGATTAGGAGAAGCAAGTGGAGAAAGTCGTAAGGAGGATGGAGAGAGGAAAAGAATGGAGAAGAAAGGTGCCCTTCTCCCTCATAAGGAAAGGAGTTGACGGCGAAAGACAGTGAAGAAAGAAGACATGAGGAGGACAGAGAAGAAAGGTGCAGCGAGAAAAAGAGAGGAAAGAATAGGGAGTCTAGCAGAAGAGAGGATCCCCCTGGAAGAAAGGAGTAGTGTTGAAATGAAGTGGAAAATCAGAGTTGGCGATGGGAAAAGGAGAAAGGAGAAAGAAGAAAGCAAGAGGAGAATAGAGAGGTGCAGAGGAAGAAGAGGGAGAAAGATAAGTTTAAGATAGAATAGAGTTAAGAAGGGAAGTTGAAGACGATAGAGAAGGAAGATGCGGCGAGAAATAGAGAGGAAGAAACTGAGAGTCTAGCAGAAGAGAAGATCTCCCCAGAAAGAAAGGAGTAGTGGTGAAAAGAAGAAGAAAATAAGAGTCGGAGACAAAGGAAGGAGGAAGGAGAATAAAGGGGGTCAGAAAGATGAAGAAGAAAGAGAGGGAGAGAGATAGGTTTAAGATATCATAGAGTTGAGAATGTAAGATTGGAGATGTGTATGATATATCCATGTAACTCTCACGAAAATCACTAATAAATACATACATTTTTACCGGTTCCTACCCGATCTATAAATTTTAATAGCTCTTCAATTTTATTCCACCATAAAATAACTCTCTAAAAAATGAATGACGCCGCTATAAATCGAACTATTAGATTATAAAATTGATCACTCAGTCAGCTGTGCGTGACGCAACTGGTTGTTACTCTATGACTCCATAGGAGCATGAAACGGCACAGAATATGTGACATAAGTGCGAGCGATCTGCTGTGGTCAAAGGGTGCAGCCAGTATAACCCAATTTGGGTAGACTACCCTCCGATATAACGATCGTGGGTGTTTTGACCAGGGGTATAGCATAGTCATCCAGAGTCCAAAGGTTATAGTTATGATAGCAATTTGTTATTCGACTGTTGCGAGAGAGTCACGTTGGCTGCATTTTGAGCTAGCAATATGGTACTCAATCGATGCACCCAGCATGACTGGTTTTTACCGCTATCTCCTGCCACTATCCCCCGTAATGGTGAAAAACTGAATGGTCGAAGATCGATATCATGGAAAACACGAATCTCTCAGCTTCAATTCCGGTTGACATGCTTTAAATAACTTTAGTTCGAAGTTTACTCACTTATCTCGAGGTATTTCTGATGCACCGGGTCATACTGCTCCCAAGTTATCGACCGGAATTTGTTTCTTTCACGGGTCATCGGCATTTGTCCATCTGCTTTGTTTCCGTGGTACTCCGCAACATTTGGATTCCTACAAAATAAATGATAACAAAATGTGAATGAAAATGTATTGACGAAAAGATTTGAAATGCGATTTAAAAAGCAGATGGTGAATTGTTCTTACAATAGCCTGACCAACTGTTTCTGATGTGATATTCACCTACATCATGTACCAGCATTCCCCGAGGGACTGCGTAAGCTTGATGAAGGTTACTAGGAACATTGAGACAAGGTCCAGGATACGGGTTACTACTTCGGGATACAGGTAGGCTATCCAAATGTAGGAAGTATGACAGGCTTGTGGTTCTGTTTACACTGGCTCATAGGATATTGGTACATTCCCTGAGTGGGTGATCAAGGGGCTGGTAAACTCATCGCAGCTCCCTATTAGCTGTGATGTAAAATCACTGAATCTATTGGTCTATGAGTTCACATTCATTTTTTAGACCATTTTGGAGGGCTTTAGCCAATTCCAACTGCTAGTCTTCGAATCAAAACCCCATCATCATCTAATCGATTGAGAAATGCAATCTACACTCGTCTATTGGTTCAGTCCCCGGTACTCCGTGTCACTGGGGAGTTAAGACCTATATCACGTCGTGTCTGACGTCGGATTTGCTTCAAATTCGATTGCCATTATCTAGGTTAGTAACATGGTGAGTAATTACGCGTTGGCATACCTATGGGCACGCGAGCCTCCATAATCCTTTGAATGTACTACTAGGTGATACTGTAACTGTATCGCAAAGGGAAGCTATACGCCAAACTGGAGACTGGCCCAACAATACAACTGAGTTAACAGTACGTCCAAAGGCAATCGTTGATTCCACACAATTTCGATATTGCAAGCCGTGTATTTCGAATCTAATTTCGTTGGATATTCCACTTGAGAATTGATCCAATCATCAGAATGGAATGAAGTTATAATCCGCTAGAGATTGAATTGCCTTGTGAAGGTTTGACGATTTCAGAAGATATTGTCGCCATCTATTTTTCACTCGAATTTGATTGATCTCAAGACGGATATGAATTTCCATCAGAATTTTCATAAGTTGGCGACAAGTCTTCTGAGGGATATTGACATCTTCGAGTTGAGGGTGATTATCTTTATCCAATTTGGCTGAACTCATCGCCGAGCTGCTGGCACTGACGCGGATTATTCCGGGGATTTCGAAGATTAAAAACCGATCCGAATCTATCATTCACGCAGCATGTCGATGGCTGATTCCATTAAAATGTAGTTTGATACAATTAGAATGGTCCAAATTAGAAACGTAGTATTCTTTTTATTTCACCTTTCTAGATTATTAAATGATGAAAAATGCTGATAAAGGTAGAAATCGCTTCAGATTCATGTCATAAGAGTGATTTGGTCTAGGAGTTCATACGGGGTCACATGGTGATCGTTAAATTCCAAAATAATACTCTCTGGCTGCAATATTCGTTACTGAAAAATGCACAGGGCTGTATTAATTTAATTTAACTGTTACAATCGAAAACACACGTGACGTTATCGATCGAACTTTTCCTTTGATGACGGCCTCTTGTTACGGTAAATTCTGTTTCATCATGATGTAATTCATCATCCCTTTCCAATACCCCATTCGCCCCCTCCTGACCTTGATCGCGTATACCATGGCGAAGCCAAGAGTAGTACAATTAATTAACAACCGGGTAAATGGAGCGGAAGGAAAAAGTTTCATTACAAAAAAAATGAGGGAAAATTTTTCCGATAACTAACGCTAATGAAAGGTGTTGTGAATCGAGAAAAACGAAGTGTAACTCATTTTCATGAACAGATGGCGCCTAGTCGTGTATTACTACAGTTAAATTGGAATACATCAAATTTATGGGTGATGAGGGGAATTTATTCACTCAATTGATGATAATTAAATAGTTGAAACTGGCTGTTTCTGCGATTTACGCGGAATGTAGCAGTAAAATTCGGTGTATTATTCATCAGCATATGATCGTTATCGAAAACATTGAGGTGATTAATAAGCTAACACTATGTGGCCAACAAATTCGATTCATGGTACAATGAAATAACTAGATATGCTGCAGTGAAATGATTCAAAGGTAAACTGACGTTGGCTGGGGCTTTGAAATCTGAGTAATTACTCCCGAGAGAATAATTAATATTGACAATTCCACTCTGTTCATTATAAAGGTCGTTAAGAATTCCGGAGTTGAGTAGATTTTGATGAATCATAGAAATTCTGGGATGAAGTTTTATGGAATATTGATCAGTTCACGTGGAAGTTATGAATTTATGTAAAAGGATTACGAGGGGATGTAGTAACTTAGAATGCTCCGGGCGGTTGTATCGTGTGTATATCAGAGTTTGTAGGGTATATGTGGTTGACCGCTAGTTAAGCGGTAAAATTACAAGTTTACTTGACCAAATTAAGCTCGTGATTAACGTCTCACTTGTATGAACAATCTAACCGGGATGATAACGAAAATTAATGAGTGTGCACGAGGATGAAGATAACTACTGAATTATAAACTTTCAAAATGTTGTATTTAAATAGAATAAATTAGGCATTTTCATGTCTTTTATTTCGAAACTGTCGAAAAGAGAATGATTCTCATTTTAAAAAACGAGATATGGTGATGACGCTTGAGGAAAAGATTATTCATATCAATTTGATCGCTCAATCATGAGATGTTAAACTTCCATATTCAAAGCAATGGAATAATTAATTTAGGTGTATTATCCTTCAAATCTTTGAAAATGCACATGATTTCAGGTTTTAAAACTCAACTTCCATTGATAACGCATCCTACAGAAACTGTTCACATAAATTCGATTACTGAAATCAACGAACTATCGCATATTTCCGATTGCTTTCGACGTTTTTATTCTCGATCGCAGGATGAAACCACACGGACATGAAAAAGGAATCCCTCAACTTCTCTCATGGAACGTAGGAAATATGGGAGTCTTGTAATTTTTTCTTGTATTTTTATTTGAAAAATTGGAAGTTTACTTGACCGAATTAAGCTCGTGAGTAAAATCTCACTTGTATAAACAATCTAACCAAGATGATAACGAAAATCAACGAGTATGCATGAGTATGGAAATAACAGACGGATTATGAACATTTAAAATTTCATATGCAACACGAAAAATTATGAATTTTGATGTCTTTTATTTCAAAACTATTGAAAAAAAAAGGAATTTTCGCCTCAAAAAATGAGCTTTGGTGATGCTACTCGTAAAAAGATTATTCACATCACTTTGATCGCTCAAATAATTCATAGAATGATACCAATTAATGAGATATTCAACTTTCATCTTCAACCCAACAGAATAATCAATTTCCCTGTGTTGTCCTTCGAATTTATGAAAATCCTAATTTCCGGTCTAAAAACTGGATCTTTGTTGACAACGCAGCAAACACAAACTCTTCTCATAAATTTGATCACTGACATAGACGAACTATCGCATACTTCCAACTACCCTAATTTTTTAATTCCCGATCCCAGGATGAAACCCCACGGGACATGAAAAAGGAGTTTCCCCCTCACTTCCTTCCTGAAACGCGGGGAATTTGATCTCCCTCTACCCTAGTGTCTGGCGTCGTCTGAACGCTCCAATTACCTCGTTATTTCGATCACGTCGACTCGTTGGCACGAGGGACATAACCCTCTCCTCCCACACCATCGGATTCACCGGTCGGGGGTAGATAGCCAACTGCAACAGGATTGCCCAGGTACCTAAATACCTCCAATTACCCCGGAACCAGGAAAACGCGAATGAAACTTTTCGATCTACGTGAAATCCCATGATTCAAACGAATGAAACTGCTGAAAACCCACCAACTTGATATCTATACCGTCTGATGAAATTTGTTTGGTGGAGTTGGAATCCAACGGGGATGATGATAGAATTAATCACTCATGAGTGGGGATTTAACAATTATTGGCCGTTGTTGGTGAAGCGGCTGTTTTGTTTAGTGCTGTGCAAATTGCTAATTCATGTTGTCCCGTCTGTTTTTAGAGGATCCTATATTTGATTATCTGCGAGAATGCTGTTTTGGGTGTTGATGTGTTTCCTGTTAATGGGAAACCATCACCTGTTAGTTAGTTGGGAAACAATGGAGATTGAGAGCAATGAGTTCAATTTCTTAGGAAGTCCATTTTGAAATGTCTCCCGTTCAAATTCCAGCTAACAATGTATCTTATTAGTATAGCATACTATTATGAGTTGTTGTTCAACAGAAACATGCATCAGCTAGGAATTTATGATGTAATGACAGGTTATGAGGATCGCCCGCCTGAGGGAATATTCCATGCCTGCATTGTCAGTCAAGAGTTGAAAGACACCATTTGGTAGTCATTGGAGCAGTGCAAAAACTGATGGTTGAATTTCAGATGTTTTGGTAGGTAGTAAATCTAACACTTTAGAGTCCATTTCATAGACATTTGTCAGACATCAAAAAGTGTCTTAATCGATCAAAGATGTCTTTTCAGACAACTCTGGAATGATGATTTTGTCCCATTTTTGGCATAATAAGAAAATTTTAGGAAAAAGGTACAGGAGTACATCAAGTTCAAAAGCAGAGGAAGTGTTTGAAATTTCTTTATCTCGAAAGGTTCTGCTGTTGGACGCAGATGATACGTAGTGATGCCGCGAGACACTTTACGAGACAAAACTTTGGAGAGATGATCTCGGTCTCAATGAACACGGAAATCATTGCTCTCGTCTCAGTCTCAAAATATGTAGCATTGACTCCTCTCGTGATGACTCCGAGTCAATTTATCTCATCTCGGTCTCGTTTTTCGTGTTTTTTTAATGTAAAATCTCGGCTTTTGTCTCGGTTTGTCTCATCTCGGATTTCTACATATAAAAAACGCGAAAAACTGAAAACTGAAGTGAGATAAATTGACACGGAGTCATCACGAGAGGCCTATATTGCGTATTTCGAGACTCAGATGAGAGCAAAGAATTCCATGTTCATTGAGACCGAGATCATCCCTCCAAAGTTTTGTCTCGTGATGTCTTGTGAAATGTCTCGCGGCATT